CTAATGGTGAGTTACTCTGTTAGCGTCTATTCATGCAAGAGGAGTATTATTTGCAACAAGACATAGGCAACCGTGGGAAAAACCCAGTGGATTACCTGACATAACTCCAATGTATTGCTGCTACCAGTTTCCTTTGAAATTCCAAATCACCCACCTCCCGTTGCATACAGCTGGAAAAGGTCTTCTTCCTAACAGGGATCGACGTTTTCTTCACGGTTCTCAGACTAACAGTAACACCTGCACAATGTTACCACAGCACTGGCTGAAAATGCTCCCTTATAATTCAACCTCTCTTTAGCTCTTAATACGAGCTAATAAACCATTGAGAATGGTATAATCATTCTGAGCTCACAATGTAAACCTAGAGCAATATGGAGCCACACCTATCAACCATGATGGAAGCCGTAGCTATCATCAAATTCATTTATTAACACAACAAAATATAATTATATAATTTATGCTTTGCTCAGGTAAATTTCAAGCCAGACAAAGTTAGACACCACCGAGTATATACAAAGACTACACACGTACGAATAGTATACTAGCACAGTTAGGAAATCACAGCCATTGTATTTGGAAAATTCCGACTGGTAACGATTTATATCATAGGATGCATCATAGGCACATTGTTACAGTCAAAGATAGTCTTAATGTGTACCCGCAAACGGGCGAGAAATTAAAGCGATCGCTTCAACAACGCCATAATTATTGATAAATTAAACTTAGTGAATAACAGAGTCCGAGAGTCTGAGAACATGAATTGGGTCCTTCTAAAAAAAGAACTTTCGCTATTGCACTGAATTCTACGGATGGATAATCTACAACTCCCATTCACTACGGATGAATTTGCAGAGATAAAAAAAGTGATTGAAGTAGCGGATAGTGTTAAATTTCCCAGAGCCTCGACACTATGAATCAGAAATAATCATCCAACTGACAACAAAATAGAAAAGGAATATAGGGTACACAACTAAAAACTTTTTCTTCTCTGGTTGGCAACCAGCCAGAAAGCCCATGGCAGCTGAAAATTGATTGAAATAAACTGAGCACAGCTATCAGAAAATGTTCTTCTTTTTCAAATGCTCGCGATCAGCGAATAAGGGAAGCTTTTGTTTTCGGATAGGCTGACTGCTTAACTCGAGGCCAGCACCGGGACGCGAACACAGAGTTTACATACTGCGAGAAAAAGAGGCTTAAATACTGCCCTCAACTCAAAGTTTTAAAGCATTCGCGTGCCCCATTGGAATTCAAGCAGCGGTAATCCAAAACCACATCCCTTCCAAAACGCCCCGTTCGGCAGTGTTATTGGGAAGCAGGAAAATATCTGTGTAATAAAGAAAAAAGAGAAAACGCTAGGGCATATAAAAAACTACGAGAAAAGTATACCAACCGAACGTTGACCAACAGAATCCAACGGCTGTTATTAATAGTCGGAGAAAGAATAATCGGCCATGAAGGAGAATCGAGCATACGATGGCTGCCACAAATGGAGGTAGAAGACAATATCCAATCACACACAGCGATTGGAAGAAAGATCTGAAATTCCAAGGATAGCATTGAACACCAAGCCAAACAATTCATATTGTACTACTGAAGATGTACAAAATAACTATTGCTAAATGTACTGAGAAGTAACGAATTATTCCAACTCATAACCAAACATGCAAAACTCCTGGATGGCAGCACAATTAAGAAACAATGGTAAAACCTTAAAAGATCCGCTGATAAACTTACATCTGCCCTCCCAACAATTTGGTGTTGATGGTGACCACTACCGAGCCAAAAAATGTAATAGCAAACACTTGTGTAAACTGCGGAGCGGAACCATCTGGTGAATTATGTTGTAGCAGGCTAAACACGAGGTGAATAAGCGTGAACATTGAAATTCAACCCTAAGCTTCCGGCTACACACGTCGGCCAGAATAAATATTTCCACCTACGAACCTCGAGGCAGAAGCCAAAAACTAACGATTTCAAGAACAACAGACATGCCGAGGTTCAAAGATGAGAGGGCTTGGAATTTGATATCAAGCGAATTAGAAGAGAGTAGAATGGATGAAGCCAATTTGAGACTTAGAAAGAGAAAACTCACAGGGAAAGGCCCACACATATGAACAATGGCCCCCATAGATCCCAATCTTTCAAAAGTTGCTGTCGATCTGATTTCGGGAAAATTACGTGGCCAAACTTCATACCAACGGTTCGTAGATCTCGGCTCTGAAATGAAAGAACACTTGAGAACAAATCTTTACACGGAGATAATCATCAGTTTCGAGTTGCCAAAAATTAGTCCAGAAACAACCTTCAACAGGGGCTAACATGACCCTTCAAAAAAGGCCGTTTCGTATGAAAACCCAGAACGTTGAAAAGACGAGCAGATTTGAATGGATCATTAGCAAGCCGCCAAACTCGACGAAGGTAAAAAAAAATCCAAGGTTTCAGATTACAAAAGAAAGAACGCTCCGAAGGTATAAGGGGCATAAAAGTTTGAAGAATCATCGAAGGAAAGAATACGTTCTAGCCAGCCAGCGAAATAGGTTTCTATCTGAGGTACTTATAAATAACATAAGAAAAGTAAATGGAATAAAAAACAAACTAGTAAGACTTACAACAGTGTCCCATACTGGCTCGTCAAGAGTGTCCAGATCACCATCCAAACTGACTTCCTGCATAGGGCGTGATGTCCTTGATGGACCTCCCATGCCTGCGATGTTCCCGCTGAGCTCAGCTGGAGGATTTCGATGAGCATGTTCTTTTGCGGCGATCTCTTTCTCCAGCTAAATGCGGAGTTAGAGGACTCTCGTAGATGAGGCCTATATAACTCATTGAAAACAATATAGGTAAAGACTTACTATATCAATATCAACTGCTGCACTGTTAAAATTTGCCATTGACTACAGTTCAACTGAAAAGCGTGTGAGAAGTTATAAAGCAGCAATAAGACATAAATAGATATAAAAATCGAAAGCAAAGAATAATCCAGCTTGAAGATTGACAGAAAAAGCTTATTGCAATCTTTTATCTGGTCAACTAACGACTCTGCCAAAAAGAAAGACAGAAATCCTGTACAGGAAAAGGACCAAACAAAAAAAACAGAGAAAAACCGCACCTACTAAAACGATTAGCCGCTACCTACCATGCAAAAAGGATGTCTCTAATGAAGAATAGCTGATGAGCAACAGCTGTATCAAGCAGTAAACAATATTAAACAAAAAATCATAAAAATCACTATCTACTAGCCAAAGTTTGAGTCATTAATACGTCATTCCGAAAACTATCGGCCAATCGCCAAGCAGACGGTTTCGAACGTGGCAAGGGGTATCGGTGCAGAAATCCGTTGTGAGACCACACTTGCACACGGCGGGAAGGATTAGGTTGCAAATGCCGTGGTGACGTCATCTACTTTATAGTGTCGCGCTCCTTGTTGTTTTAGTGATTACTAGTTGCTTAAAAATTGCTCACTTATTGTGAGATATTGTTCTGGAAGGTTCTGCTCTAAATTTTCAGATAAAAATCTTTTTGGAACGGAATTACGGTGGTTTTGCCACTTTGGCGAAGATGTATCACCACTTCCAATTTCTTAATTTCGAATCAGATTTAAGCAGGCGAAAAAATTTTGGTCATTATCTGGAAAAGCAGCATAAATTTTCTAGCTTCCTCTCCGGGAAACATTGTTCCGAAACTCACAAATTCACGTATCTACTGTGATAACAGCTGTAGTAGTGATCGATGATCTGAAATCAAATTTTTTGAATATTCGCTCTTGTACTTTCTTATAGGATCTAACTTTTCGTTCAACAACACTAGTCAAGATGCAGTTCGATTCTGGCTCTTCACGTGTTATTCGACATGGCATCAGGAGCAATATAACACGAATTAAGGTAATGATCCTTTAAGGAATTCATTCAATAGAATAGAGTTCCCAAGGTGAATAACACATATGTTCCCACTCTTGAAGGTTTCTGTGAAACGGTTGATTTCTTTCTCACATTTTAGTGATGTATGGTGGTCTCCTATGGGAGGAGCTCAATAGGTCTCTGAACCTCTGAGCTTAAGCTTATACTCTGAACCGACTTATTACAGGATTTCCACTTTTCCCTGATACTTGGATGATTATCTAAATACTACCACATGCGAAATGTGGGAAATCGTTAAGATAGTGAGACCAGAGTAAAAACTCAGGTAAACATCCACTGGATTGAAAAAGCTTGCTGAACTGAAGCCTGAAGTGGGAACAGTCCATAGTACGACTGCTTCTGTAGGCATCGAAAATCGAGTGCCAAAAAGTTTGTAAGGCAGCAGCCGAGATGCGTTACTTGTTGATCCTCAATCAGCAGCTTAACATGGATGCTGTAGACCAAATTCCGATACAGTAGGTCTTTCAATCTGTGACCGTAACTCGGAGAAGTACGGCGGATTTCCGTTTACCGAACCTCGTCATTGTCAGCTCGTGTGACTACTCATCCAAAGTCTGCAGTTTACTATGTAGTGCCCTGCTCGTTCGTGAATTGTACCACTACCAAGGATTTTGGTTGACCTTCGCTAGTCGTTGTGGTTAGAAATACATGTGCCCTTAAGTGACATCAAGATTTGAAGAAAATTCGAGTTCATGGTGTGTTTCAGAGAGTTTCAACTTACAATGGCATACAGCGCCTCATTCAGGTATCGAACAAGACATCGCCCTACTCTTGTAACTTGCAAATGTACAACATCCCACCATCAGAAGAAATCGGTATCGAAGAGTTCGATGATATCGCTATTGAACGAGTAAAAGCGCTGAAGGTACACTAGTGACTCGGAGTTTTTCAGAAAAACAACAGCGCCTTCTCATTTTTCTATTGTCTTCGAATATTTTTAGGTTGTAGAGGATGTCAAGGAACGGTACACATGGGGTTCCGACGAATTCAAGTCGGCAATGATAAAAGGCCTTCATAAACACATGCCTATTGCTGCAGGTACGGTGAAGAATCCGATTCTCAAAATCTTTGATACAAATGTTTGTTTTTTAAGTCTTTTCCCCTGCCAGTCATTAGTGTACGAATAATCGGTAGGTTCAGGTAACCGGTGTCAGATAATGGGCTTGCGTTAGAAAGTGATGGGAGTGCAACACGTAAAAGTGGCTTAATGGTTCCTATGTAAGCCTAAATTCAAACGAGTTGTATAGATGAATTCAAGATCTGCAGCTCATCCCTCTTCTACTCCTCTTATCAGACTTCTCAGACGATATTACTCTCCACCTACGTCCTCATCTCACCAACTTCAACAATACAGTAAACCGAGGCCGCTATCAACGCAAAAAGAGTGAGGGAGTCAGTGAATCTTACCAACTGAAGGCTCTCATCACTTACTATTAGATATTATGGGAATCATCTACTCAAACATAAGCACCCATAAATGCGCCATGTATAACAAGTCTGTAAACTTTCGATCTTGATAATGACTTCGTCTTTCACTAAAGTATTTGATCAACTTCAGGAACATGTCTTCCCGCTGATGTGGAACAGGCTCGTAGAAGAGATGTGATTGGTCATTTTATCCTTCGACTTGCCTTCTGCCGGTCACCGGAGTCTACCAAATGGCTTGTCACTCAAGAAGTCGATCTTTTCAGGTACCTTACGAAGAACTCAAACTTTTCTTTTTTTGAGATATCTGTTACTCATAAGTAGATTTTTTCATTTAATCCATTACCGTATGTCTTGTTCACAGGTTTCGTTTCTCGAATGAGACTAGAACGAATATACTCAGCTTCCTGAAAGAGAATAATGTTAATCTGGATGTGGTAGGTGAACACGAATGTTATTTACCTTAGTTGTAGCCATGCAAATGAACGTGATCAAGTCTGGTATGCCTTCAGGTAGATAAAACCGAACAACTGGAGCTAATAGCTGAATTAGCCGCTGGTTGTGGTATAAGCATCGATCAAGCCACCAAGACAGACTTCTGGAAGGTTTGTCAGTTGCTCTTCCCGTAAACTTTCGATACTTTACTGTTCGACTTTAGGTAGATTTTACTGCAGCGCTTGACCTTGTTCGCCGTCGGCGTGCTCTCGTTCGTCATGGATTTGCTTACATTCAGTTCAACGACTTGGTGGTGATCACCAGCGCAGCTCTTCGAGCGAATATGACGGCAGCCATGGCGGTAAGAATGACCCTCCATTACATTTGGTATGCTTCCCTATGGCTTGGTCTTGGATTTGGTACCCCTGGAGCACGATTAGATAGGGCCTCAATCTGACCTCCAGTTACTTCTTCTTCAATTATTCATCTGCATACAAAAAAGTAAAGGTGTACCATGCATACACTGGTTGTATTTCTTGTAAAACAAGTTTTTATGACATGAATAGATGATACGATACCTCAGCCTCACATTATGAAAAGTCGCAAGGAACCTGTGCCTAATACTCGAGTGCAATCATTTCTACTTCTCAGCGGGCGTTCAAGCATTTGGCAATTGTGGAAGAAGAAGGTCGACTCCTTCCGAGGCTAGCACGTTTGGCCAATAACGCTTATAGTGGAAAGCAGTATGCAGGAAAGGAGAACGATGGCAAGATTACCCGACAAATGATTGATCAGGTATGGTAGAGCTTCTATTTGATCGGAACATCTTCTTCTACTTCCTCTTCAGTTATGTGTCCCTTCTTTCCCATTATGTATGCGACAATGTCACACCCGATTACGTGCGGATCATCATTTGAGACATGGAGCAAGACGGTAGAACAATGTTCCCTTCCCTTTTATGGGCTTTCAAAAATCCATCTTCGACATTTAGGCAGTATGGCCTTTTCTTGAAAGGAATCGGTTTGTCTTTGGATGAAGCATTGATGTTTATGCGCGAAGAATTCACGAAAAAGATTGATTCCGACAAGGTACTGTAGATTCTTTTGACTCATCAGGTATTGATGTACTTCTTATGTATTACTATTAAGTTCGAAAAGCAGTATGCTTACAATATCCGCCATATGTATGGAAAAGAAGGCCGACGAGTGGAATATCCGGCGTTTCCGTGCTCCACTATTATTTTAAGTAATCCACCGGCTGCGGGCGATTGCCATGGTATATTCCTTTTAGACTACAAAGTTCATAATTATTGTCTATTTTCTCAAGTGTTTTCTACTTCCCTGTTTCCTTAAATCTGGCTGTTTAGGCTGCCCCTTCAAACACTTGGACACTCAGTTGCTCGCTCAAAGGTTGGAGAAGGATGGGTTGAACAGGGAACAAATAAGTCAGGTATGTATTTGTTGTTGAGCCAGTTGGCAACAGCATTCCGGCCTTCATCCTGGGAACTTTGTACTTCCTTACCTTTCCTTTACTGTGTACACGTTGCAGTCTACGTTGTGGCTGTATTACATGGCATGTGCCGGCATGGTGTCTTGACCATAGCTCTGTCGCTTTAGTGCACATACTGATGCGCGTTGCCGTCGCATTTGTTCTGCAATATCAATAATTACATCTTCTTATCGGCAATTTCTACAAAGTAGGAACGAATATTGAGATGGTTTTTTTTAGATAGTAAACTACACTAAAACGAATGCTTTCGACAAAGCATGCACTCGCCATTTCGAGTATTTGCATAAAATGGAAGAGGGCGCACTTGGTCAGCTAGTGACGCATCCGAATACTTACTTTGAGTGGTCACAAGAGGTGAGTTCAGAAGGTTACAACTCACTGTTGATAAAGAGTTCTGCTTCGACTGGCGAAATATTTTATCTGGGCTAATAGGTAAAAGATAATAAAAAATTCTATTTTTTCATGTGCGTCCACCTATTTGGTTCCTTTGCTACGCGTGGCTCTTGGTCCACGCCTTCATATTCATTTGGATTTGAACTTTGGAAAATTTTAAGCAAAAATTTTAACTGAAATCGTTGATGTCGAATAAACCAGTTGTGCGTACTTACCTTTGCCTTCTCTATAGACTTCAAAATTACGTTCCAGGTACTGAGTGGGACACGTTCTAAGAGCAATCACTTGATTCAGTCGCACAGCTCACAGCAGCCAGCACAGATCAAGAAGGAGGAGAATTTTTCGGACGACGAGAAGTAAAGCCAATATGTATAAATACTTTCCTAGGCAAAATGAGATGAGTCGTGTCGCATCCTGCATTTCCATATTTAATGCCTTTTTTACCTTTTGTTCACCATCCCAGTGATTTTTCTCGATACTCAACTATTTGAACAAGCTTTCTTGACACAGGTTACCAATCTGTCAGTGTCTTCAGTGTTTCTTTGTGAGCTTATTTCATCTCTATCCATTACATCGAAGTTCGATTTTAGGCGTTTTTGCATTGTTAATACTATATTTCATCTTGATTGCACTTTTCATTTAACTTTAGCTGTACTTGGAGTTGTAATTTGTTACGAGAATATCTTTCTTTTTGGCTGAGCACTTTCAAAAGTTCCTATAACTTTTAATGAACTTTCATATTTAAAATATTTCGTGAACGCCTGAGGGAATTTCTGCCTAACCTCCATTGTAAGACCCTTGGCTCGGGGAATATAATCGTGAGGTGGAATGGGTCAATGGAAAATCAACTTCGTTAACTTGAACGGGAGAGGAGGTTCATCAAATAGTAGCAAGCGAAAAAATATTCAATACGTATATATAATAATTCGTATAAGTTTACTACTTTGAAATAAACAGTCACTATTGGATTTTAATAACGAACAGAGAAGAGGGCTAGTAGGAGTATAGGCTTAGTAGAGCCTTCGACGCTCACCTCCCTTCCATAATCTTTGCTCGACCTTCACCAACAGTGAAGAACGAAGGCGTTCTCATTAATTTTGGTCAATGAGGATTAAATTTAGAAGTAAGTACCGTGCACAGTGTTTATGCTGTTGGTATTCAAAAGGGCAATTAGATTTTGGTAGATTTTCAGTAGGGAAAGGTGAATACTTCACATTCTTTACAGTGTTCCTCGAAACCGTTCACAAGGCTCAGGGAATTTTGCTATCGGTCTTTTTTTGCATGAAAACGATATATAAGAAAACTTGAAACAGTGCTTATTACAGACCATCAGGGTGTACCATGAATGAACGGATATCGATCATATTCGCATTCGATTCCGGTTCTAGAGTATAAACGCTGGTTGGACAAAATCTCCCCGCCTTTCTCCAGATCATTTCTCGACTAGTTTACTTTTTCTTACATTATTAGGTATTATCGGAAGATTTCATGGAATATGCCAATGTCGAGCCATGAAGACGGGAGGCTCGCCGGAGTTTGAGCCTTAAGCTTTCATAGCTCCACATCAGATCATCGACTTTGTTAGATGTATGAATGGCCTTGTCTAACTATGATTCAGTCAATAGGCAGAAATAGACCAAGATATACCTTCGGGGTGAAGACAAAGCCGTGGGATCTGACAACTGAAGGCTTGCATTTCCCCTTCAGAGGGATGAAGATATCTAAAAATCTTTTTCCAAATGACTGCTGTACTGCTTCTGAAAGCTGACTATGTTGCCTTAGAGTTTCTTAATCCTCCTGCTCAGCCCTTGTCTTCGCTTGTACAGAAATTATTACCATGGCAACTAATGGTAGGTGAAAAAGGTAGTTATAACTTAGAAAACTGTAATTACTTTTTCACAAAAAGAGAAACATTCATTCTGTTTCATATTGACTATAAAAAACTCGGGTGCCAGATCTAGAAAAACATAGATAACCTTGAAATACGGGTCAGGTACCCTTTAAGATGAAAGCTTGAAGTGTCCCTAGAGAAATATGCAGCTCCTTACCACTAGTTGCCAAGCTGATGTTTGATTTTCTATCTCAATAACCATGCTATATTTTCGTACTTCCACCGCTAATGTGCACTTTAGCATAGTTATTGATTAGTATGCGAGCACAGTCGTTACCGATTTTTTTTACAAACAAATGTTACTATAACTGGTATATGCGCTAGGGCATCTTCATTTTGTTTTGAATGCTTGAGATCCTAATTTACACTTTGAACTACATCGTCAGCAAAAAGCATCATCTATTTGTTTACTTTTTGTTTATCACGCCCAGATCAATAACAAGTCAAAAAATGGCAATTGTTTGGGCTGGTTAATGTTGCTAAACTTCAGCTTGATCATTTCCTAGATGAGGCTCATTGTCCGCAACTCGCACAGTGTCCTAAATGACGCAGATTTTTAGATAATTCAATCTTAAAGCTATTTATGGGCCGTTATTTACTTTATATACTCCATATTGTAGAGTCCAAAAAGCTTGGGACTTTAGTGATGGAAATATAGGAATTTGATCAAATTCCCTTCAATTAGCCTTTAGAATGCCTTGTATATCTACACTTTGGGTTTATTCCCTCTAATGGATTGGGGTTTACAATAAAATAATAAGGAATACTTTAAAACGAAGCGTGGTCCTCGAGTTTCCTATGCTTGAAAAACAAAAAGAAAGTCATATTTTTAGGTTTCTGGTACTTCTCAGCCGCCTTTTTTTTTCGATTGAAAATTTAATTTTGATACTTTTTTGAATCATCCAGATCACAGCGATACTTTGGCGCATCTCTATGAAAAGAACAATTAGAAAACACTCGAGATCAAGAATGAATGAATAGCTGATTGTAAACATTAAGGGAGATAAACAATCAATAAAATCTGTTTTAGCCCTCTTCAACACCTGAAATTAGGCAATTAGGCAACTCTAAGTAATAAAAATAATAAAGTGGTTAACATTTGTACGCTATAGGAATAAAAAGGAAAAAAACGAACCTCTGGAGCCAATCCACTTTGTTTTGTAGGAGAGTTTGGTAGCGTATTTTAGAAATCATAGAAAACAATGCTTCCGGTGGGTAGCAGGAAGGCCGGTATGTGTTCGGGAGTTTTTCTTCTACTTGTGATCGTTTATTTCGATCTATCTATAGGGTCTACTTATTTACCAAGTAGAAATAAGTATGATTGTAAGAAATCTTTGAAATAAGCCAAATTTTTATCAAGACAGTGACTGCGCTGGGACTTCATAGAGTTTTCTTTCAATCTGGGAATATTTCTTTGAGGATTACTTCCAATTAGTAGCCAGTAAGTCAATCAAAAGGGAACAGAGTAATGAGTTGAGCTGCTAATTGCACTTAGGAATTGGTGCCGGTTTACATCTGCATCACTCTGCACTATTGATCTGGCCGCGCTGTGTTGAACTGTTTAGGTTCTCATAGAATTTTAGAAGGGCTTTTTTTATCTAACAATTTGTCGTTATTATAATTGGATTGGTATTTTTAAAGTTTATGCTATTATTAACAAAACTGCAAAGTTGCGACCTGATCGATCTACTTGGGGTACTGTCTTCGAGCTGGACCAACTCATCTCAACGAGGTTTCAGAATCGAGCCATCCCTTAGTCAGAACTAGTT